CCACTCCCATCCTATAAGCATCGACTGCTGCAATTGATAAGCTATTTTAATAAGACTGATACGGCTGTGACGATGTACACTAGGAGATTGAATCGCATGTAAGAAAAGATATTGTTAGGCCAAGTGCCAAGTGCGAACGATGGAACGTCGAGTCAAATAATGCATGTAAGGTTGAATCGGCCAAGCTCCCCGAGAGGCAAATCCTTGATCGCGAGCGCATAATTTCTTTAACAGCCACCGTCGTCGAAAGTAAGCGATGTCGCGAGGTCGCCTAAGCGTTCGCGGGTCGGCCGAGCTCTACTCTTGGGCAAGCCCGTCGTCCTGACATACGCCTTGACGATCGCGACTCCTCCCGGGGCCGCAGTTCTCCAGGGCGTCGCCGACGAGCTTCAGGCTCTGTGGCTCCTCCACGGACTCGACGATCTTGTACTTGCCGCCGGCGTTTTTCGCCTCGGCCTCGTCTCTCAGGCTCCTCAGGCTCGCGACGACGTCCTCGAGGCTGCGCGCCGACTTCTCCGGGGCTCGCTCTTCCAGCGACTTGGCTGAATCTGGCGCCGACTTGGTATCGGCCCTTTCCGGGATCGTGGCCGTCTCAGCCGCGGTCGCGGCCACCACCACCGCCGCCTCAGCCGACTCGGCCGACTCCGCCTGCGCTCGCCTCGACTCCGCGAGCAGCTGGGACATCGAGCCGAAGATGTCGAGGGCCGAGGGCGGCCTCGCTACCAATATAACGAAGTTCTCGAGGTCGACCTTGACGTTGAGGTCGCCGTCCTGGCGTAGATCGTAGGTCGTCGGGGCGGTGCGCGCGTACCCGAGCACCGACAGCACTATCAGCAGCAGCAGCTTCCTTATCATCCTGCGCGTCGCGCGTGCGCCTCTCGCTCCCCGTGACCCTTGGAAGATGCGCCGCGTGCGATGGCTGCGCGGTGACTGCGAGGCGAGTGCGAGGCCCGATTACGTGGCGTCGCTCGCCGTATTTTAAGGGGACGACCGGGAGGAGAGCGGAGTCGAGGGTCCGAGAGGCTTCCCGAGTGGGATCCGCGAAATTACGAGGGGGCCGTGGCCTGCGCTCGGGGACCGGCCGACCGACCGCCGATATCCTGGCTGCGGTGCTGTCCGGTACGCGGGGTAGGGGGGAGGGGGGGTGTGTTAAACGCTGATAGGAGGAAGGGGAGATCGCAGTCGTTTGTTTACAAGCTCGTTGAGTCGCTGTATGCGCGGATGCGCCGCCGGGGTTACACGACCATCGGGATCGTCGCCGAGGTCGTTCGAACTAGAGGACTTTGGATTCCTCGTCGACTGGACTGCCGATTACAACGATCGAGGATCCCGGTAATAATAGGAGGCAAACATTTTGTTTGTTCCCGAGGCTCGATATATGATGAGTCACGTATAATTTATTCGTCAATGTTATTGCAAATACTAAGGCTGCGAAGAAGAAGAAAAAAAGTTATTGCGGATTGTGAGAAAAGCTTATTTAGCGTAAGAGATATCGATACGAGAGATATCGTACGCCATAATATGATAAAAAACCATTGATAAAATGTCTAGTATGTTTATAGTTGATGGTAATGGATTGAAATGTAAGTTAAAATAGCTTCGTAAGGACTTTCGAATTTGCTGAAGTTTCTCGTTATGCTAAACCATTATTCTCGTGGAATTTTTATGCTGAGTTTCAAATACGCAAACATCAAAAACTTGAAATTCTTAATAGTCAGGATAGCGGTGCGTGTGCGCGCGCGGGTGGGTACATACAGCATCACTATGAAATGTATTATATTGACGATCGGGTAATTTTAGATAGATAAATTACTTTTTTGCCTAATTTCATCTTCGGTCGAGTTTTCCCTCTTCTCCTAATACGATAAAAAGCAATTGAACTAACGTTGGAAGCTCCACACCCATAGCGAAGTGTAAAAAAAAGCTGCGTAATGTTGGTTTAACAAGGAATAAGAACCGTTTTTTGAGGTTTGACATTGGCAAGTAAAGGATTATTGTTGAAAGGTTGAAACAGAGGATTTGAAGAATGACGTAGCAATATCTTTCACTACATGCCCTTCGAGGACTTTGTAGGAATTTGAAAAATTGCTCGAAGGTTAGATATGCGTTAGAATTCATGAGTGTTTTGTTTGTATTCATAGTGGGATTGGTGATGGGTAAATTAGTAGCTCTCGATCGGTAATGGAGCGTACCGAATTTTTATTGAGCCTCTGTCTGGATAATGTCGTCCTAATCGATCGATCGGTTCTAAAGTATCGGCGAACGAAGCTACTATACTCATTATCAGAGTGTCACAAGTTTTTATCAGCTTACTCCGGGATCATTAGAACAATGATTAATGATACACGATCTTTGCATTATATTGAAAATGTATTATATTTTAACGTGAATCCCTACTTTTGTTCATTCTTTTGTACTTCGACGGCGTGGATATGCCCAATACAAAGCATATTTAACGTTTGTTTTTACACGCATTAGAACAAGAGATTTTTAGATTATAAAAGCAGCGGCAAAAGTTTCGCAATTGTTAGGAATTTGCCGAAAAATGTCGTAACGCATAATTCGAATTTGTTTTAAAGAAATAACACCAAGAATTCGTACATAATTTAGTGAAATAAAGAGAATTTGATGGAGAACGCCATTGTTTACTTTTATAGTTTTATTTTATTATTTAGTTTTATTATTTAGTACTTTTATAATATTCCTTATCTATTATTTCTAACAGTTAATCTACTGCATTTGTTATTTGCTGAGCAACGAATGCGCCATTATCATATAAATGGAAGTGGCGAGCAGTCCAAGAAAGTTGAATATCTTACAAAATAATTATTATTAAATACGAGTTATCTAATTTGGATAGAAAATAGAGCAATATTTAGTTAATTTTATGTTGATTTGTTATTTAATAATTAAGGGGCACGATATTCCATCGTAGCGTGCGCATTTTACATGATCGAACGTACAATGTTTGTTTGTATTCACACAGCGAAAACAGTGAAAAATCAGTGACATAAAGTAGATTCGTTGAACAATTGATAATAACAATTGAAAATAACTCTACATCGGTTGCTTTTCAACTCATTCTCATTAAAGTGTGACGTGTGACATAAAGAAGAGTAGATGAATATATATTCATGCTTATAGACTTGATAAAATTGTCAGGGAAAGTTACAGTCTGCAGAACCTGAGTGAAATGTTAATACGATTCTTTTCTTCTTTTATTGCTCATTGGAATAAAACTTTTTATGCGATGTTCGTTATAGAGTCTGTGGTTATTCGATCGGGGATTCGAAGAAAAATGTGAAATACTATTAATGGAAAACAATGGATGCGCGTGAGTTTAAGAGCGTTCGTATTAAAAAAATTATCGTGAAATCGTCGGGGAAAAAGGACAAAGATAAAGAAATGAAAAATGTAAAAATTTAGACTATGGACTTTTAATTGTAAGTCGTAAATTAAACTCGTAGGATTAATAATAACTTGAATTTTTCAATTGATATTACATTTATTTTTTCATACACCTTTAATGCAGATTTTGAAAATAGTTTTGGCCTTAGCCTTACGATAATAATTACGATAAAACTCCACTTCACTCCATCATAATAGCTGTAGTGACTTTTTCAAATTTTCATCTTAATGTATGTTTAAGATATTTTGGTTAATTTAATGTTTCAACACAAATTACCTAAATTTATTTAAATTTCTATTTAATTAAACAAATTTTAATGAAATAAAATCAATTAAATTTTTTCGGCCTTATCATAGGAAATATGCATTACACGATGAACATCAAATGCTGATTTATGCCTGAATTGACTTTGAAAATAATAAATGCATTATGCAAGTACCAATGTATGGGCGCGCGTGTGCGCGTGTTATTTGTTAACAGACATAATTTAACAAAAGTAACTTTTTCTTTAGAGAATAATACATTTTTGTAATCGTTGAGGGTAAAAGAAAGAAAGAAAGAAAAGAAATAAAAAATTACTTAACAAATTACAAAGCTACATTCAATCGCTAAGATTAAATGTTAAACAACATATTGAGTGAAACGAATTTTCATAGTACTTTCAATTTAATTGGCATGGATAATAAATAATAATTAATTATTTTTATATATTTTTACATTTTTATTGCTAATCGTAACAATCATTGAAATTTGTTCACAGATCTATATTATTTATAATACATTTAAGGTTTATGATTAATCGTATAAAAATGATGATAGAAGTGAAAATACATTTAGGAACATCATTGCTTGTAATAGTAGTAATAATACTAATAGTAGTAATAATCAATAATCAATAATCAATAATCAATAATCAATAATCAATAATCAATAATAATATTATTTTTTAACTCTAATACGTAGACAAAATCTTGGAAAGGTAGAATTTATGAACCTTCGGTGGTTAAATTACTTTTCGATGCATTCGAGTTGCGCAATAATGTCGGTGCCAATTTCATCATTGCGAGCCTCGGCCTGTAATAAAAAAAAAACAAATTAATAATAGGCTTCTGCGCTATTCAACCGCAACAATTTATCTTATCTTTTCATAGATATTAGACAAAATGCTGATCGTCTATGATAATGGAAGACAATGGTAAATTTTGAAATATACCTAATGTCATTAGCGCGTGCATTAATTTATTAACAATTCGAGTGGCTTTTGCCGACCATTGTCATAACGTCATTGATTTGACAGCCCAAGGCCAGGACTATTTCACTGCTATTTCAACTAGAAGTCTGGATAATTGTATTTATTTTTATTTTCATTCATTATTATTATTGTTTAATTGATAAACGCGGACGTAGGCTTGAAAACCCTATTCTAAGCAAAAAAAAAACAAAAAAAAACAAAAAAAAAACAAAAAAAACAAAAAAAAAACAAAAAAAAAATATGACCGATAGAGCGATGAAAATTGATATTACAAAGTTGAATTGATATTGAAGGAGTGAGAAAAAGAATGAAAGACTCGAGATAACCTACGAAATAATGGATAAGCGGCGCTTGAAGCATCTGCCGGACTTGAGAAGAAATCCAGCGGGGCATCGTTTCCTGGGCTCGGCAGCATCCTCCAGCGGCCTCTTCGGCCTCGTCTCCTCGTGCAGCTCGGAGCTCATCGTCGTCGTCGTCGGCGACTGCTGACTCTCGGCCTCGATGGAGACGAGTATCGTCGCAGGCGGCGATTCGTCGTCGAGAGGGCCACTGGAACTCGTGACCGACGTCATCGAGGCTTCGGGCGTCGTCGTTGAAGCGGTGGGTCGAGTCGGCCACACGGACCACGTTTCTTCCTCGGTCGTTGTGCTCGTGCCGTTGCTGGTCTCATTGGCCGCCGGCTTCCCCGTCGTTGGCCTCGGCTTTATCGTGAAATCCGCGTAGTCGTAGGGATAGTCGTAGTTCTGAAAGTACGATGCTCTCTCAGTCACCCCTCGACCCCGCGACTACGTTCGCGCCACGGTCCTCGACCCCTACCACGTAATCGTCGATCGTATCCGAGTCGACGAGGGCGAGTATCTGCACGTCCTTGATGTCGATCTGGACGTTGACGCGGCCCTCCTGGCGTTGATCGTAGGTCCGCGGGGCCGCTGCTCCGGCTATCGTCAAGAACGCGAGGGCCCCGATGACCCGCGGTTCCATGTTGCTGCTGTGGAGACGGAGGCGGAGGTGGTGACGGTGACGGTGACGGTGGCGGTGGCGGAGGCGGAGGCGGAGGCGGAGGCGGAGGCGGCGGTGGCCGGTGGTGAGGCGCCGACGCGAGTCGAGCTAAAAATGACCGACCCGAGTCGAGTTACCGTCGGCGTCGCAACCGCTCCCGATGAAACGAGGATCGGGGGAACCGGTATCGGCGCTCGGGGCTAACGGCCGTCGCTCCGGAGGACGCCGACCTCGGTGGGCCTCGCCCCAAGGTCAAGGCCGGCCTCGGAGCGGCGACGACGACGGGCACCTTTACGAGCGGTCATTCTTCGAATACCGAGGTGCCTACACCGAGGTGCGCGAGCTCGTCGTTGCTCCGGGCGCTCGAGGCGATCGAGGATCTCTCTCTCTCTCTCTCTCGCTCTCTCTCTCTCTCGCTCTCTCGCTCTCTCGCTCTCTCGCTCTCTCGCTCTCTCGCTCTCACGGCTCCCGTGGAGGGGCATCAACGCACGATTCTTCGCATCACTTGACCAACTCTTGGTGTGATTGACCGCGTCGGTGGCGATTGTCGATGAGCGATGTGGTACTCTACGAAACTCCGATGTTTACGAGAAGAATTCGTTTCGTCGAATCGCACTGCTGCGCAAACTCAACGCCACTATGGAATGAAAAATTAAAGAAAATTAATGGAAAGAGCGAAAGCATCGATGCACCATTACGATTACTATTTTAATCGATAAACTTTTAATACCTTAAGTATTATATACTTTGCAGTGTTTGTTTAAGGTAAGAGGTCAGGCATTTAATTATTGGGGCTCGCGGTGCGGCGGATGGAGGTGCGAGGGGAGGAGACGATTACTGAAATAAATCTGATGTGCATTAAGGTTAGATTAAGGGTAGATTTATTTATATTTAAAAGGGGCGGCATGTTTGGCGTAAACGATAGGTCAGATTGTCATGTCGTTTGAATTTGATGATCTTGGGTGTTTGGATCGATCGATCACAGTATCATAGATATACAGGAGCATTTCGAGAAAATTCAATGACTCAATGTATACAACTGAATGGTAATGCAATGATAATACGTTTAATTAGCCATATTATTATACGCGTATCTAATGATTATCGTTATATTGTAAAATAATGAATAAATGATTAGATGGAGATAAAATTGTGACATGCACCCATGCAATTATCGTCAATGTATTGTCAATGATATAATGGAATATTGAATAGTGATAGGAAGATATATTTATAGATTTCTATAATAATATCTACAATTTTTAGTGTTTATTTATAGGGTTTATTATTAATACTATTATATACCCACCATTCGTCACTTTACCATAAGCGTTCACATATATTTTTAGCGCAATAAAGCTTAAAAGTTACACGTATTTGGTCACTCGTCTTACATGGGTTTGTTCAACCTTTTTTTTCTTCTCCTTTTCTCGACAACCTCATACATTACAACATTCTACATCAACATTTTTAAATTTCCATTCTCGTATTGTTTTTAATGTCCAATAACTCGAGCAGCTTAATCTTAAATGTATTATATAATACGAACTTAAATATCTTTTATCTCTTATTGTATGCATAGGTTATTGCGCAAACATTATTTAAAGTATTTAATGGATCCTTGAATCGGCAATAATTTTGTAAAAAGTTATTTATTACGATAAGCAGAGAGAATGTTTATTCGTCTGGATATTTTATTTCTAACTATAGATTATCTAATTAATGCCCCCATCGAAGGTATCAAGATTTTATATTCTATCTGTTTATTTTTGTTTTATTTGCTACTTGAACAATTATATTAATTAATATTTACGCAATTTTCATTGCAGTCTATTACAGTGCAGGTAAAGTCTTACGATCGAATTAGTCGAACATTACTGGCAGACAGGTGATTGAATTACATATTATCAAATGCGTTAATATTTACTTAAAAAATACTTTGCAAGCTCATATTATTCTCTATAATTAATTATGCTTGCCGTCGTATAATTTACTATTAAAAGAACCATAAACCAAACAAAACCAAACAAAATAATACAAAAATAGTATACATATATTTTCTTACTTTCGCTATTGTCAACTAAATTAATAATTTATAGCATATTAAATTATAATTTTACACTCGATTCCTATGGCTTATGTTGCATAATTAAGTTAAAATTACACTTTTAACATATTATAAGCGAGATTTACTTTACTATAATTGTCAATGATCCATACTCGCATCTTGTATTACGTTACATAATCCATGTATGATTTATTGTTTGATTATGTAATTAATTCATATAATTAAATATTCTATGATTTTCTATTGTACATTATGAAGTGGCGAGTGAAGAAAAAGAATGTATTAGTTCAATTCGCCTCGTAATGATATTACATCGAAATTAACACTTTGATCGTATAAATTACGTAAATTGGAAGAGACACCTTTACTAATTTGGCTAAATTAAAATGTAATAATAATGTAGTAACGATAGAAAGAAGTAGGTTTAGTTATTTGAAAATACTTAGAATCGTCAATAAATGTATAATTAATAATTTTAATCCAATTGCTTTATTATATACGTCGAAATTGTAGTAGTTGCTATCGTTGTTGTTGTCGTTGTTATTGTCGTTGTTGTAGTAGTTGCTATCGTTGTCGTCGCGGTTGTCGTTGTTGTTTTTCATTTTGTTGTTTAGCACACATTGGGATCCCTACTCGTTATCAAGATGCAGATTGTTCAAGTGGAAAGATTATTATTTCTTACTTATAAACATATCCTAATGTTCTTATCATATTTTGCCAGCAATTTTTATATCGAATGCGTATGCATTATGCGTTATGCACGAAACAGCGTACTCGTCATGCTTGTTTTTATGGACGTTGCATAAGACAGTTGGATGATCGTGTACAGAAGATCCCGTAAGAGAATGGAGGAAGGTCGTTGACCTTGGTGCGGAAGAATATTTTTCTCTTAGAATTTTTTTTCCGAAAATTTCGAGTCACTATGAAACCGGTTAACATTTAACTCTTCCGAAGCAAATTTTACAACGAAATCCAGAAATAATATGTTTGAAATGGTAAATTTTTGCCTGCGCAGCTTCAACCATTCAAGAATTCGCGCGAATTCTATATTTTTCTATATTTATTCGGACATGATGTAATATACGGACAACGACATCTCAACAATAAAATATGTTGCTTTAAGTAATTAGGGACGCGAAGTTTCTCAAATATGTTCAGTTTCCAAAATTTAATAAGATTATCGTATTACATAAGGGCGGAGGAATCGATAAGCTTAAATTAATTGGCATTAGAATTTTTTTTCTTTCGTTATACTGTTTTATGCTGAGAAAAAATAAATGCACATTAAGAATAATGTGACTTTGCGTTTGCGCGCATGTATAATGAATTTTTGATTATGTCAACAACAGCCCATACATAATGTATAATGTAAAAATTTCTCCTTCTTTTTCACAACAATTCGTAAATATTCCATCATAATGTGAAATATTGTTGTTTAATAAAGTCCGTGTGCGCGAACACGGATGTTTTATAGTCATAAATAGCGTGAATAATTCTTTAAAGTATAATGACAAAGTTTAATAATTTTATCTTCTTATTCTCTCTCTCTCTCTCTCTCTCTCTCTCTCTCTCTCTATCCGTTTATCCCTCTATCCATCTATCCATCTATCCATCTATCCCTCTATCCCTCTATCCCTCTATCCCTCTTTCCAAATAAATGCACCTACAAATGTAAACACATACAACGTGAGAGTAACGAAGAGTACTAACAATGTAAACATTAATAATTGTAAGGATTCGATGGTTAATTAATAAATATTTACAAATAGAGCCATTTGCCATTTACGTTTATTTGGCTTAACGTAACTTTGCAGTCTTCGGGTGCCACTGGCCTCGGATAATTCCTCCTCGTTATTACAGTTGGCCAATAATTGTTCGCCAAATATTTTACATCCCAATACAAATAGAGATAATCAAGGTCATTGATAATAGAGTAAATGACACAAGTGGTTTAATGGTAAAATCGCAGTCGCCGGCGTTTGCAAAATTATTCCAAGACAGTTGATGTCTTGTCAGTATAAAAAATTATGCCCAATAGCGCAATAGACGGGCCAATAAATAAAAGGAATGGTTCACGCAAATGACGAGTCGGTACAGTCGCTACAGTCGGCACAACAACGGATAATTGAACAATGCGTGAGATGAGCTTGTGAAATGCGCTCTCGGCGAGGTCCTTCGATTCGTCGAGCGAGGCGAGCCACGCGATTCGAGATTACGCTCTCGACTCTCGAACGCACACGCACGCGAAGCCTGAAAAGTCATCGATGCGTGATTGCATTGTGCAGCCACCCACGAGCGATAGTATCGACTGGGTGAATATAATTCGCACTCTTGATCGCGAATGCTGTAAGCATTATAGTCGAGTTGGAGAACATTATATTTACATTGGCAATTTACGGTTAGGAATTTGGGGATTTTTGGTGGTAGCGGCGGTGGCCGCGTTGTCCTCGACGTTCTATATCCTCGCGCGCAACGCTCAAAGTGGCGGTAGTGGTGGTGGTAGCGGTGCTTCTGCTGCTGCTGCTGCTGGTGGCACTAGTAGTAGAGTAGCAGTAGTAGTAGTAATAATAGTAGTAGTAGTAAGCAGTAGATGGTAAATCTGGGAAAGGAATCTTGAAGGTGGCGAGAGGATTTTGCCAATTGTGCGTTGTGTTGAGGTAGAAAGAGGAGTAAGAGGAGGCAGGAGTGGGCTACCGATGGCGTCGTCGCCGCGCACGAGGAAGACGTCGAGCTATGAAAATCCGTGGCGCTCGGGTAACTGAAGAGGAAGCGAGCGGAGCATCAGCGACAATCACCCTGTCAACTCGGCTCGTTTACGATGATTCGCGACCTCGCACACGATGCTGCAGTTCTTTAAAAAAGCTGGTAATGAAAGGCTTAGATCTAAACGATCGTTATAAATCTAAAGGATCGTTGCGCGATTGGTCCGCGGGGGTTAAGGGGGGTCACATAACCTCGCTCGAGCACACTCGTGACCCCATTGTTTATGTACTTGTTGACTGTTTAACAGGGCATTGCATCTCGTGGTCGATAAGTCGATTCTTTTCGCCCCGGTAAATGACTATTTCAAGTGATGGAAATGAAATCTCGGATATGCTGCTAACGTATAGTTAACCTGCTTTTTCCCCCTATCTTCCCCCAAGGATTATCGCCCAATTTTCCATCGCTTCTTTCGTTAATTCTCTCTTGGCAATTTTGTTGAGTAGCCAATAAAAATACTTTCGATATCATCTCGGTTCTTTTCATTATTTCTTCGTTGCGTAGTTATAATTATTTTCTTACTATTTTACTCTATTAGTAACAAGTATTTCACTATTTGATATAATAATTTCATTCTTTTATTATTGTGAATTACATGTTTTAGAAACTAACCTAATATTATTGGCCCTTCTTGTTTAATCATTAATTTTGCTTTTAATCCCCTTCGCTTGATTTCTCCAATCGTTTAGATTCAAGAAAGTTGTATACAACAAGTGGCTAAACGAACGATGGTAAATTTGTTGAAATAAAAATTTTGTCAGTTAAAAATTCATGCTTATATTCCATAATTCTGTTAACGACATTGCATTCTAAATATTGCAATAACTTTCACGAGTAAAGACGTCGAGTCCTGTTTTGTATCTATAATTTTTATTAAAATAAATTTTTATACAAGAGTTTATATCATTATCAAAATACATTAGGACTTCTTCCTTCTATATTTTTATATTATAAAAGTATTACCATATATTTAAATAAGTTTTGCAGTTAATAGCTACCATTTACATTACAATTTGATAATAATAATAAACATTACTTGATTAATAATTGCTTGCTAATAATAGCAATTCCAACTATTGTCTTAAATAATTTAAATTTATTTGTAAAAATTTTTTTTATTAACACTTTTCTATATTATTCTTTATAGGATATAAAGATAAAGTTAGATCCTTGCACAATTCGCTAAAAAATTCTCATAGATCAAAAGAGTCAAAAGAAGATGGGACTGTGGGTACTTCCTTGGTGGCAGTACCAAACACATTATGCAGCTTCGAGGCGGAAGAGGAAGATTATAAATTCGAAAATGGAAAAACTCAAATTAACACCTTCTGTTCGCGTCTCTCCAAATCATTACCTGAAATACTGACAGACAAAAGTGCTCTTGACTATTTCATCCAATTTATGGATGCAAAGAAGGAAGTAACACTGATTAAATTTTGGTTAGAAATTGAGTGTCTTTACAATGTTTATTGTACTCCAGAATCTTTAGAAAATAAGAATGACGTTATTAGGGATTATAAAGAGCTTATAAATTATACAAATAATTCAGAGAATATCGATAACTGTGCGTGCAGTATAATATCTACCAGCATCAGTGATTTTGAAATTGATGCTTTATCGTTAGATAGCAGTGTAAATAGTACAGAACAGGGTTTGGTAAGTCGACAATCTCTCATCTTTTTTCGATTTTTGTGATTATTTGTAATTGTTTTTTTACATTTGAATGAATAAATCGACGGATGCATTATGGGAAACTTTATTTTTTAATAAAAGTTTATTGTAATAAATTTAATTTATATATATAGATATAGATAGATAGATATCACATAAAAATAATTAAAATTATCAAGAAATATCGATTAATGACATTGAGCCTGCTTATTCTCATAATTTATTTTTGTTTGGCCAAATGATTTATCAAGTACTCCATGTACATTTCATTATATTAATGTATTTTTTTTTTTATACAAAAAAAAAAAAAAAAAGGCATTGCAGAGTCCCACGAATGAGACGAAATCAAATTCCAATTTGCCAAAGATGTGTCCAATAGTAAACGATAATTGCAAAAGAAATTTAAAATTTGGAGAATGTAAGGCTTCGTCATTATATCAGGATTTACTGCGCATATATAGGAAATATCTTGCAAAAGGTATGCACGAATTGAATTATATAACTGCAGAATTGAAAGTAAGCATAGAAAGCGTCATAATTGACGAAAACGTCAAACTTCTACTTCAATACTTAACCGATGCACAGAAAATAGTTTATACACTATTAGAAAATGTGTAAGTCATAAAATTACAAAATATGATTGTATTTCATAGAACTTTTTATTGAAATATAAGACTTTATAGAAATGTTCTTTCAGGTATGTAAATGACTTTTTAAGAAGCGATTTTCATTGCAAACATCAAATTGACGTTTTGACTAGTGGATATGTGCAATTAACGGACATATTGTACAATGAAACGGCCTTCTTCTATTTTATGGAGGTAATGTACGAATAATTTAATATAATTGTTAAAATATTAAAATAAAATTATATATAATAAGAATAAACTATGTATAGTTCATGGAAATAGAGAATAAAAGAGAATTGTTGGATTTTTGGATGACTGCTATGAATTACAAGCAAAATTTAATGGAGAAAGGGGATTCGGTGGATTATGCCGAGGCTCAAACCGATGCTCTCATTATATATGACAAGTGAGTCAAAAAATTACATAGTCTGCGAACCCATTGCATTTAACATTTATTCACATACTCCTATTTCTAGGTATTTTAGTCTACAGGCTACAATGCCATTAGGTTTTAGCGATAGAATTCGTTTTGCAGTCGAGCAAAATATTTGTCAAGAGGATGGAAAGGGTCCTCAGTCCGACTGTTTCGATCGTCCATGCTGGATTATTTACAATTTCTTAAACAGAGTCAGTTAATTCATATTATACGGAGTAATATCTTTAACGATAAAAATAATAATACATAATATTATTTATTTGTAGTATTATCTTCCAACTTTTTTACAATCGCAATTATTTTATAAGTATTTATCGGAGTTGATTAACAGTGTTCAGAGTAGTAATTATCCTGTTTTCCATCCACCACTGAGAAAAACAGGTATATTATTATTGTTAAATAAATATTTGATTCGCGATATGGCAATTAAATCTAATATTAATTTGAATGACAGAATCGGACTGCAGTAGTGAAATAAGCTGTGCGAGTAATGTAACGAGTCCAATTCAGAATAATAGCGATGAGAAAAAGCAGACAAAATATGGCCTATCGATTAATGGAGGAATGAATATCGATACTAAACAACTATATGATCCTGATTCCTTATGGAGAAGAAATAAGTGCAGGTACATAACTTCTTTTTTTTTTTTTTTTTTTTTTTTTTTTTTTTTTTTTTTTTTTTTTTTTTTTTTTTTTTTTTTTTTTTTTTTTTTTTTTTTTTTTTTTTTTTTTGTTATTTTTTATTAAACATCGATGACTAAGCCCAGCACGAAGTATCTTTTTTATAATTTCAATTTCAATTTCAATTTTTAGTTTAAGCGTGGGCTACGTTGACAATTTAGGAAGATTCGTTACGGAAATCGAGCCCGATCCATGTCGTAAAAATGATAAACAATCGCGATTATCACGAGCTGTTAAAAGACTGGTGCATATCGAACAAGACAAAGTAAGTGTGACAGTATTATTTATTTAAATTCAAAAGGCCATCGAATGTGGCGGTAAATCCATTGATCTGCTTAGGCAAAGGAAGAGTCTGCATGGAAAATTGCTGAAATGATTGTGCGCGATGTCACATCCTTGACTCTTGGTGCTAGCGATCTTCCATCCTGAAAGGACTGACCAAAATTTCCCTACTAAGTAAGATTTCTCTTGAATCTCTCTTTATTAACGTTATGTTTCATAAAAGTGTGTAAAACATCGTATTTGTTCGTTTTAACGAGATATGCAGCGTAATATGCATAATATTTTTGAAAAATCTTACCCAATAAGGATTGTCTAAGCATTAAACAATAACATACACTTATCAGTAGTTTTTAAATACAGTGTAGCGCAACATAATTTCGTATCTCGATGCTTGTAAATCTTATCTCGATACCTTCTATAATTGGAATTTTTATATTTTTTTAAAGCCACCTTAATTTATGAAGCATAAACGAAAAATCGATATTCGTTATGATAAAGCACTTCCAATAAAATGAGATTATTTTAAAGTATTCCTATATGTAATAAGATACGGTAATTATTAAAATTTCAAATGACTTCATTATTATATTTAGTCCATTAGTAGTACATGAGTTCTCTTGTAAATGCTGAAGTAAGGATACAAAAAGATGAACCTAGCATGATCTAGATCGCTATTTATATTATTGCGATAAATCATTTGTCATACGCACATAATTTAAACTTGGTCATTCGATCAATTATTTTTGTCGATAAGTTATCGGTTCACTACTTTAAAATATTACGACACTATTGATCATTAGAAATGATTATAAAATACTTCTATAATGAACTACTACTATACGAATGGATATTACAGTTAAATTAATTCGCATTAAAGTAAACAAAAATTAAGAAAATCTATTTTCTTAGGAATACATTTTTACATGGTGCTGTTTTATGGACGGCGGTTTCACTTGTAATTAAATCATTTGTAAAGCGACGACAAATGAATTTAAAAGTGTAAATTCTTGTACATAGTACGCTCGTTTTTACCTTTATTATACTTAAAAATTTATAAATAATTATTAAAATATCAATCATAAATAATGGCAGTCACAACATAATCTGCAAACTGTACAAAAGTTATTATGTATTTTTATGTATATAACTTGTAAAAACAAAAAAAAAACAAAAAAAAAACCAAAAAAAAAACAACAATTGTGATTATTATCGGATCGAAGAGAATAAAATATGTAAGAGAATGTAATATGTAATTCTGTACATATTCTTCCTTCAATGATTAACAATGAACTTTTCTAATTTCATTTCCTAAGTTTTCTATTCTTCTTCTTTCATCTTTTTTAATTATTTAATTATGCATTTTGTCTTCGTTTCTAAATGAGAGGCATGCGCGCGTGCGTTAACAATGATTTTCATTCGAGTTTTTCCTTTTAAATTCATAAATTATAAATACAAGGTTAATTATAAAAAAAAAATAAAAAAAAATAAAAATTGCATGCTAATGCTTACGATCGAATCTATTGGGTATCACAGTCATTACAATGATGACGAACCATTTATGCTTATGTGCGAGGTGCATCGGTATTGTGGATTAAGTAACGGAGACGATTCGGTCAGTTCCGAGCTGTCGTCACTACTACCAAAGTAGTTTGATCTCAGTATTTTGAGCTTATAACACCATTCTAATCGAAATGACTCTCGCCTACCCCATCTCTTGTAAACGAGAGCATTTAAAAATGCCTGAAGAGGATTTGTAACCGCCTATTTTGGAGAGAGAAAAAAAAATTACATTTTTCACTTACGTAGTCGCGAGGAGTTTAAAATTTTTCACAAACAAAGCCGCCAACGGTACTCACCATAATGTACCAAAGAATAATGATTACTTGAACGGGCAATTGAAACCATAGAGTCCAGAGGAGAATTCCGTTAAGTAAGTTCGGTATCCAGCAAACATAATAAACGATATTAGTCATCGCAAATTTTAATCTAATGGCATGAACGAGCTTCCTTTCTCTACTGGTCATCTGTGCCATACTACAAATCACGACTTTCTTCATATCTTTCGTCGACGACATGTACAATACAGGATTGACGATCATGACGATAGCAAGAAGAACGTAAGTAGCGCAATAATTGGGGAGAATACGAAGTATTGTCGACGATAATGAAGTTAAGCTGTGACAACTGATATGGAAAATCGCATTAAATATTAAGTGAATGTTGTTTATTGGAAAAATTTTTAACGACTTACTTGGCATCCGGGACGTACAATATCGTAAGACCAAATATCGTGAGAATCGCCGGGCATATCCAAGCAAAAATATGATACAAAAATGGTCGGCCAACTTTTTCACCTAATAATAATTTCATATCGATTGCGTAGCACAAAGTCCAAATCCAAGTGGACATGTAAAAGTACTGTGTCCATGCCTACAATGAAATTCCATCGCAATTATAAAAATCGAACAAAATTATTGCCAAGAGAAAAGCTTACGGATGAAATAGCACAAAATACTACATTGGACGTGTCATCTTCCATTGGCATTATTGACCGAAAGTTCATCCATAACGCCGATCTAATAAATACACCTGATGATCGAATGGAAGATTTTTTTTGTTAATTTTTATCAGTATTTTATAATAAAGAAGTTAAGTTTCGTGTACCTAGCGAGGCTAGAAGATCAGCAACCGCCAGCCATACGATAATTTCTCGGCCCCTGGATGCAGAAGAGCTTTGCCATCCGTGCGAAAAGTTCAATTGTTGACGCGGTAATACCTGTAAATTTGCCAAATTGTCAAATCATTGATAACTTTATATTATAAGATGCGCAGCACTTCATACGCGAGTCAATACAGGAAGAAGCGTAGTGACATTTTTTATAGCTTTACATTTAATCACTTTATGCACATTATAAATAATAGATATAATAATTTAATAAAATTTAAATAATATTTTAAATATAAGCAATTGAAAAGTTATTTGAAGGGCAATAATATTTTTATTCTTTATTTGATATTTTTGCGTTGTAATGTTGTAATGCACTATGAATATCATTAAAAAATGTATTGGTAATTTCATTATTTTTTGTAGTAATATTAGCTTTTCCTTAGTTTAAAATTAATGATTTAAAATTTGGAGTAAAAAAAATCATTAATGTTATTTTATCTTGTAATTGTAGAGTTTTTTTTTTTTTTTTTTTTTTTTTTTTTTTTTTTTTTAATCAATTTTATGCGATTATACTTTATTTGTTTGTAAACACTTCAAATTTTATCGGTAGGTATTTTAGCATTTAAAGAAGATACAGCATTTTACAAATTAAAAATTATCACAAATTTTTTTCACATAACGATATTTGGCATGATGTAAATGTCAAAACTATTCAACAATTAAGACTTTCTTCGCATCGAATGAAAATTTCAGCTTGAAATTATGAATGAGGAAGTAATTGTATCGAACGAGATATCGTTAATGTTCCGTCTCTGTGGCTATAATTCTACCCCACCCCCCTCTCTCTCTTTCTCACTCTCTCTCTCTCTCTCTCTCTCTCTCTCTCTCACTCTATCGCTATCTCCCTAACTGACCAACGCAATCAAATCTATTTCCCATGTATCGAGGACGGAGCTCGACAAACCTAGTGATAAATAATTCGTAATCAATCGAAGAGAGAGAGAGAGAGAGAGAGAGAGAGATGTACATCCACGACCGTATGAAGTAGGAGATAATGAGCGGTCCAGGAGAGCGACCGAGTCACCTGGTAAATGGCCCCGAGCATGCCGATCGACGACGATACCATGCACACGGTATTGTAGGCATCCGTATTAAACTCCTCCATCATGTCAAGGGCCATGTCGCTTCGGTTCGTGTGGTGACAGCAGAACGTCTGTATGGTCGGGTCGGCCATGGTCTCGACTTCCGGTTCCACGCTCGTCGAATCGGCTCCCCGAACTTCAGCGATAAGGGCCGATCTCGATCTATCTCACACCGCGCCCCTCCTCACCTCTCCCACACCCTCTACCTCGCACCTCCCGTTCCCACCGATTCCCTTCGATGTCTATTACAAGACCAAAGACCCACGTGCCACCCAACGCGATTACACCTCGCTGGTCGAGCCCAGAGCTGCTGAACACTCGCAACCCCGTGAGCCTACTACGGAACTTCCCTTCCAGTGATCTTCGAGAGTGTTTCCATTGTTCGCCAGAGTCACCGCTGCTTGGCCATTATTCCCTCCTCCTCCTCCACTCCACCCTTACCCACCCCTCAACAACAACAACAACAACAACAACAATACGATCTTAATTGCGGAGCGCGCGAAGATACGGATCTGAGATTTATCTTAATGTGTCGATTCGGTTTGGCGCTGTGAGCCCAGCAGGCAGCCCCGCGGGCTGATCGAGGCAATGATCGATAGAGTCCTTTTGCATATTAATCGCTTATCGTCGCGATTGCTGGCCGTGATCGTGACGAGTGGCAGCGGACGATGGCAGCCGTACCTACGCGATAACGTGCATTGCCTCTGGCTCGGTAACTCCTCATCGCGAGTGCGGGTACGTTGCTTTGAGCGCCGGCACTTAAAAATCCAGGCAGATGAGCTTGCCGGAGGACACCCCTTACGTAACGGAGTGATGACGTAAGTGGCTCGGGCCACCGAGCGAGAGAGCGCGTTTCAGCATCCGGCCGATTTTTCAATGAGCGCGAGTCGACGCGATGAGCGCGGTGAGCGACGACTAGATTCCTTGGCTCCACGCGGAGAAGCCCGTCCCATGGCAGAGGTCCGGGATAGACTGAGTCGTCGTCGAAGTAGCGAGGGGATTCCCCGTGGCCGCGCTCGTATGTTCGTCTCGTCCGAGGCGATCGCCGCTGCCACCGCCACCGTCGTCGCCGCTGCCGTGAAACCCGATAAGACTTAGGCCGTTGGCCGTCTCTTGTCTCCCCCACCCCCAGCCCCCGCCCCCGCGCTTTACCGCGATTATTAGTATTGCTGAAGCATGGAAGCCGTATCGATAACTCGGGGCGGGGGGAGAGGGAGGGTCACTTTAGACAAGCAGCGACAACCGAAGCGATCGCTCGAGTTTCGCTTACCCTTGTGCACGAGGGGCCTCGGCGCGCGACGCCGACGTTCTTTTCGACTTTTCCCGAGACTTCCATTGCTCCGAGTGTTCGGTATTATTATTGGAGGCTCACTTATATTATAATATCGATTAAGTTCCTCTTGGTGCTATTGTTGTTGATGGAAAAAAAAAAAAAATTATCTGTCTGCTCATGCCGTGATAGGGCTCAATTGTAGTTATTGTATTCCTTCGATTCATGTAGTAATTTGTGATCCAAGTGGTGTTTCCTGATGAAAACATTAATACGTCGGAGCTAAACGAATGGCTATTTTTAAGTTTCGTGATTTTTACTTTAGATTACAAATAATTAATATATGGTGAAAGGAAAAAGGAAAAGTATTCGCGTATTTGCCAACATAGGGACAATACGAAAATTCAGGGTACGCTGTGTGTCATATACCTTCTTAAAATATTTGTGTGAACAAAAGTAAATTATGTATCGAATTGGGCTTACGTTATGATGATATATAAGACTTTATTATCTCACACTCTAAAACAATTATAATTTTTTTAAGCATTCATTATGGGTATTACTTCGGTATTACTTTAGTTCAGGATTACTTTAGCAGGAAGATTAGTAAAGAAATAAAAATTCCTTATTATTTAATTAGTCAAATACGACCTAATAATTATAATAATAGTAATAAAATTAACTTTTATCAAGGTTGTATAATGTAAGGTTAAATAGTACATTGGCTGTGAAAAGTTTTTTTTTTTTTTTTTTTTTTTTTCAATTCATATAGAATATTTATAATTAATATTTATTATAAGAATATTTCAGAAAATCGGCGACAATTATTTGTTCTTATTTCTTGTTAATCTCTTCTACAACAAGATTAAATTTATCAAAAACTTGATCATTATTATCTTTTAATTAGGGTTGTTTTTATGAAACTTCTCCTACGTATAGTAAAATTGGTAAGAATCAATGAATATAAAAGGATTCGATATAAATAAAACAATAGTACGTACTATGAAAGTCGACGCGATGAGTCTGAAAAAGAATTTTAGCCCTTCTACTATTCATTTTCAATGATTTTATTAAACTGACTACGCGAATCTGTACAACATTTAAATTGAATAAAGAATGCAAGCAATAATATGTAGCCGCCACATGTTTTATGATTATGTATATATATATATATATATATATATATATAATATAATAAACAATCACCATGAATATTTTTACGCTTATATTGTGATATGTGGAAATGATAAGAGCACGTTGTACTCAATTTGGAAATTGAAATGTACGTTTCTACAGGCTTTCCCGACACTTAAAGAAACTCGGAATGTCCACGCGACCACAGGTCGATACATTGGAGTTCTACACATTTCTGCGGTGGTAAGTTACAACTGGGGAGAGGCTCGACTTTTATCGAGGATGCGCTCGAATAAAATCACTTGCTTAATCACCACGAAGATCAGCGCGCGTCTTTGCTGCGAAGATATGAGGTGAACGATCGAAAGGGCATTGGTTGATTTGTCGATGTTTTGCCGATTATTTTGAGGAACTAATGGATTGCAGCAGTCAGTCACTGACATTCAACGTACTTTCCAACGACATATGCCAAAACAATATAAGACGGCAGATTCGACTTAGCATATGCAATTGTTGTAACTTTATTCGGACGCTGCAATGATTGTTTTCAATGATTGTAAATGGACTATTGAAATTATTACGACTGTGAACGATATTTACGAATGCGATTTACTCATTAATTTTATAATTAACATAATGCTTTGTTTATTTTTACAATTATTTATTATAATGTTCACGCAATGATGAAGAATATTGTTGAGACGAGCATATTTTATAAGTCACGTGACTAAACAAATGGATGATATTTTATCAAGGAATCTCATGTGCCGCATACGTAACGCTCGTTGTAAGGACTTGAATTAGAAAATTTAATACTTGTACATGATTTTTTTTTTAGATAACTTGCCCTGTAATTCGTTGTTTTGCGTATCTGTTAAATCAATTGAAATAAAGTGATTATGAAAAATTTACATGGAATTAAAAAAAAATTTCACGTAATAAAAATATTTTTATTATTAAACATCTAACGAATATCAATTATACAATTAAAAACATTAATTATTATTGTGATTATTGAAAAATATAGTCTTTATAATATGCACAATATGTCAATATTGAATAAGGAGGTTATTTTATTGTTAATCTTAAGTTAAACTGAAAAATGAGAAGTATTACTTCAAATATAATCGACAAGCAATAGTCGCTCAAATATATATATTACTTTCAACTTCAACTTCATTTAATAAAAATGCATTATCTTACATTTTTAAATAGCCATGTGTACATGCACAAACGATATCGTTCAATTCAAAATTCAATCATAAGAGAATCAGTTTGCATAAATCTGTTTTAACAAATAAATATAGAAAAGCGTAAATATTCATATACACTCGTACGCGCGCCCATACGCAACATACACCCACACACATAGATAAATGTACATAAATAATGAGATTAGAAATTAGAATATCAAATTTAAAAAAACAATAAATATATTTACTAACACGACAATACATAATATATAGTATAAAAATTCTAATAAATGTCGATAATTATTGATAGAATTTTATACTACTAGTTTTTTTTTTTTTTTTTTTTTTTTTTTTTTTTTTTTTAATCAATAAAAATCAAATGTGTAGAATATTTCGATAAATTCGTATTAATGCAAATATTTTCGATATTATTATTATATTCAACGATTGAAATGCGATAAACGTATTTATTATACAATAACTTATAAAGAATTTTATACGACTTGTATAATAATAGCTATTCATGGATTTTCCATTTTTAAAGAGAAATCATTGCAAGCATTATAAAATTAGAAAGTAAATTGAAGATTCTTCAAAGAAAAGCTCGTTTTATAAACTTTATATACTTTAATGCTTGTAAACAAATATCTAATTGTATAAACAAATGAAGCTCAATTCGGTATTACACTCTCATAATGTAAAAAACCGTAACAAGAAGCATTAATCAACTACAATAATTTGTAAATTCAAAGAAAAAATTGTTAAATGAAATTTTTTTTTATTTAAAATTTCAATTAACACAGTAAGAAAGTAATATTATGCCAACCAAAATTAAACTTTATTACTTATTAAAAATTGAATTTCATTAAAGTATATTATTCATAATTACTGCAAATCACGAATATGATTTAAATTAAATATAAAAATTTAAATGACCATTATTAAGTTTTCATAAATAATAATGAAATGCAATTGTATTTTACGACTTTAGAAAATACTCAATATAATCACAATAATAATTATTTGATGCTTTGTGTTAGAAAATTTTTATAAATTTATCTAGAAATCATTAGAATACTGTTATCAATAATATGATAAATTAATCGGTCGAACTTAATCATAATTAATTATTTTTTAATGGAGAGATCGATAAACTATGAAAAACTGATAATTGATAAGACTTTTAAGAAGATTTGTAAGTCAACATATTGAAGGTCAGTGTGGCTAATCATTATAAAATCATAATATATATATATACATATTTTTTTTTTTTTTTTTTTTTTTAATCTATTTGAATAACTATATAATTTAGATTCCTCCTTACTCCTCTTTACTTGTGATAATCCCAGGAAAAGTACAATTTAAATCCTATTCGATAGATAAAAATGACTACGTCGGTATTATTGGATTTTCTAAAAATAATTCAGCAATAATTTTCATTTCGTATAGATTTAAAAGTTTTTGTTTTGTAAGATTTATAGATTTAGAAAATAAATTAAATAATTTGGTATTTTTAATTTTTAAAATATTGACAAAAGTGACAGAAAACAGATAAGTAATGGAAAGCTAA